TCTGTGGCGGGGGCAAGGATTAGGGGCCTACGCGTTACGTCCCCGCGCTTTACGGCAACCCTAACTTCCCTATCTGGCTCTCCCGCTGGTGATGGGGAGCGGGTGCGCTCGGAAGCTGAAGCAGGAACCTCTACCTCGACCTCGACCTCGGCGTCTGGTTCGTGCTCCTCTTCTTCCTGCGCGCCCTGGGCTGCGCCCTCGCTCTGGCCTTCCTCCTCTGTCTCGCCGATTGGTGCGCCTTCGGCTGCACCCTCGGCGTCTGCAACAACCTCTGCCTCCTCGGTCTTGACCTCCTCGGCTGTTGGCTCCTCTGCTGGCTGCTCCTCTGCCGTGGCCTCCGGTTCCGCCTGTTCCCCGCAATGCAAAGATGCAAGCACGGAGCCGCGCAAACGAAGGTCACGAATAAAGCCTGTCTCCGCGGCACGCGTTCCAGGTGGTGTACGGGCCCTTCTTGCCTCGTGCAAAGATGGCCTCTCTAGTGCGCCTCCGGCTGCACTCAGATCCACACCAGTGTCTCCAGCGGGTGGTTGGGAGCGGCTGCGTGTGCCAACGTCTTCTGCCTCTGTCGGCTCCTCAGCTGTGACCCGTCCTCTTCGCAAAGGGTCGCGCCGCGAGGGCTGATAAAGGTCGCGCGTTGACGCGGGGATGGCCAGCGACGGGGCCTTGGTCTTCGAAGGCGGCGGCCCTGCAGGCTCCTTTGGCTTCGCCTTTGCCGGCGGCGGGCCTGCTGGCTCCTTGGCCTTTGCCTTCGGCTGCCACTTGGCCTTTGGGCCGGGAGCTCTTGAGGAGCTCGGTGCGCCTTCGGCAGCACCCCTGCGTTCAACCACTGCACGGACGGCTTCAGAAAGCTCTGGGTAATACCCAGCCAGATCTTCCCACACAAGGTGGTCTTCCTCTATGTCGTCCCCAGCTTCGTTGAATTGCAGAACGGCTCTGTGATGGCCTTCGGATATATCTTCGAAAGTGGCTTTTGCAACCCGAACAGAGAATAGCCTCCAGCAAGCGCGGACCAGATCGTCTTGAATATTATAAAACTTCTTCTTCCGTCCCTTCGCGCCTGCTCGCGTACCCCTGTACGGCCGATCCTCCTCAAGCTTCGGCGGCATACACCGGTGGCCTTGGAGTCCGGTGCCGCGGTGCGCCTAGGGCAGCACCCCCTGAGGATATGGCGAGGCCTAAACCCTCAGGCCGGGTTTAAGTGGGAAACCAAGGAAACAAGAGCTACGGCTGATAACC